TTTAACATGAAATGTTACTTTATTAAAGTAGCAAACATATTGTTTAAAAGTTCAGAGTACAAAAAAGTGTATAATAAAATATGTTTCATGTTCCTCCCTTCTCTGTGCTTCTCACCCCCTGCCATGCCTGTCCTCCCACATATTTCAACGCTGTTAGTGTCTTCTGACAATTACACATCTCCTTTTTCTATATATGTATATATATATGTATTTTATTATCTATTGACACTACTGACTTTCAATTATGGTAGATGAGGATTTAGCTCTTGTCCTAACATCTGCTCAACTTCTCTCTTCTCCCAGTTCTTCCAGTATACTCCTGTTACAATTCTTGGTTTAATTAATATCAAAACATTATTGTAAACATTATTGTAAAACAGTATTGTGCCTGTTCACTGCTGAGCATGCCTTACTTTTTTGCCCTCTTGCTTAATAATTTCTTTAAAAAAAAGTGCTTAGTTTTCCTTGTATCTTTTTGCTAATTCTTTTCGTAACTCCTGCTATCTCTCAATATAATTTTCTACAAGGCTAACTGCATCATTAACCTTACTAGTTTTAGTCCCCCTCATCACTCTCACACGGTGACAAGAGATCTCTGTTCTCTTTAGATCTTTGAGGTGGTCTCTCTGAAGTTCTGCTCTGCAGCTTTCATGCTGGACTTCCTTGTGGTCATCCTTTTCCTTTTCCTTTTCCTTTTCCTTTTCCTTTTCCTTTCCTTTAGGTTGGAATCCTAAAGTGTTGATTTACTGTGTTCTCTTGTTAATGTATACCTTCTACTAGTTTCTTCAGGTTAAAAAGATGGTATGATGACTCAGGGAGTGTGATGATGGCAGCTTGTCTTTTGAGTCACACTGTTCAAATCTGGACATGTTATCCTCTCTATCTGGTGTATACTTCTCATTCTGGGATTGCCCTTTACCATTAGAGATTTCCTTCACTTCTCTCCTATATTGGATCTTCTGTGTTCTATCTTCCATGACTTTTATTCCTTAATTTACTCCTTCATTTTGGTAAAGAACTTCCTCTAGTACTTTCCTGAGAAAGGTTGCCTAATGAAGTTTTTGAGTTCTTGCATCAGAATGTCTTCATTTTTATGTCACTTTGGCTAGGGTGTAGATTTCTAGATTGAAGATACTTTTCCTTCAAGATTGTGAAGGCATTGTTCCATCATCTTCTTGATTCCAACACTGCTGGGGAGGTGTCTGAAACCATTCAGGGTACTGATCCTTAGTATGTTACTTTAATTTTGTTTTTCTGGAAGATTGTTGGATCCTTTCTCTGTGTTCTGAAATTTCATGTGCCTTGGTGTGGATCTTTTTTTAAATTGATAATTAGTTTCAGGTGTACAACATAGTGGGTCCATTTTTATCCATTGTGCTGGGTGTGCATTGCATCCTCTTAATTTGGAAATTGAGATCCTTTGGTTCTAGAAAACTTTCTGGAACTTTTGTTGATGATTTTTCTTCTCTCCATTTTTCTATTCCCTCTTTTCAGAGTTTCTATCATTTGAGTGTTGGATTTTTTACACTGAACTTTCTTATCTTTTCTCCCATACTTTTCCATTTCTTTATCTCTTTGTTCTGCTTTCTGGGAGATTGCATCATCTTCCAGTCATTCAATTAAGCTTTAATTTCCAATAATAATTTTTTTCTGTATTTTCCATTTTTAGAGCATCCTCTTATGTTTCAGTGAGTTCAGTATTTTATCTGTCTGAATCTTCTTAAATGATTTTTATTTCTTCCATATTGCATTTTTTCTGGGTCTGATTTTCCACGATCACAGCTTACTTTGTATATCTGATAACCCTTGTTTGTTTACTCCTTAGGAAGAGAATGGTACTAAAAACCTGATTAAAATCTCTGAGCCTGTAGATAAGGCTTATCACCTTTGAGCCTCACTTGGGTAGGCTTTTAGTCAGAGAATATCTTCAGATCTTTCCTGGTCTAGTGGTTGGAGTTTCCAGGGAGTACTCTTTTAATCTTTTGCCTGGAAGGTAGTGTTCTGGGCAGCCAGGTGTTGGGAGAGAGCTAGTTTGGGAGAGGAAGTTCTCAGTATTCAGTGTACCATACTAAAAGGCAACCAAATACATGGTCTCTTGCTAGTGTACCCTGGCCCTCAACTGTGTCGAATTCCTAGTTGAAAGGTTCTTTTCTTTTGCCCTATCCAGAGAAAATGAGGATGAGTGGAGTTGAAGAAGGAATCTGGAGCTTTAACCATTTCTCAAATGGCTCTCACACAAACCTTATTTTAGCCACCACATCTTCTTCCCCCAATTCCAGAAGTACATGATATTGTTAGTTTCAAGCCCTTTGAAGACTGTGGTGTAAATCAGGCTCGTTCTATTATCTCCCCTGCTGGCTTACAATTCAACTTTCTTTGGCATGGCTAGTCTTTTATCATTTGTCCATCTGCTTTCCTGCTTGCAAAATGCTGCTACTATTGCCACCTCTCTTGTTTTTCCTTACCCTTGTGAGTTTATATCTTAAAAAACAAACAAACAAACAAAACTCTTGACTAGTTTTATGGGGGGTTTTGTAAGGAATAAAATTAGGTGTGAATGTTCCTTCTGCCATTTTAAATTGGAAGTCTCAGTTTTTAAAATGGCAATTCATGATATTTTTGGAGGTCGTGAATGATATGTGCTTATTTATAGATAATTTGGAAAATAGGAAGGTATATTAAATAGTTAAATATCACTGTATTTTACCATCTAGAAAAACTACTGTTAATATTTTGATATACTTTCAGTCTGTTTTCTGTGTTTGTGTATTTTTACATACCCATTCACATTTGTCATTAATTGGAATCGTAGTATATATTTTTAGTTTTGTTTCCTGCTTAATTTACCTAATAAACCATTTTCCCATGTCACAACATAATCTTTGAAAGCAAAATTTCTAATGGGTTTATAATATGGCTGTCACATGATTTTGTCATGATATATTTAACTGTTATCATATTGATAAAGATTTAAAATTTTTTTTCTAATCTAAATTAGACTCTAAGCTTCATGAAGTCAGAATACGTCTGTCTTGTTTATGATTCTGTGTTCAAGCTTAACCCAGTGTCTAACATGGAGTGGTTCAGGGAATGTTTTGTTAAATGAATGAACAGATGAACAGTTTTGTACAAAAGTCTGATTGTTTCCTTAAACTAGACTCTAACACAGACTCTTACTGGGTTAAAAGATACAAACTTTTGGAAGCTTCCTGATAATTTATTTTCAATTTCTGCTTTGATTCAGAATAAGAAACAAGGATGTAAAAATGAGGAAGTGCTTGCTGTACTAGGCCATGAACTGGGGCACTGGAAGTTGGGACACACAGTCAAAAATATCATTATTAGCCAGGTAAGTTTGGAGTGACAATTCTCTTTTTATGGGAGGATAGTCAAAATATAGATATAGCAGGCATGAGAGTTCATATAATAGAGAAGTTAAGGCAGACTCTATACCAGGCTACCTGGCCTCACATCCCGGCTCCCTGACTTACTGCCTTTGTGACCTCAGGCAGATTCCTGAGCCTCTCTCTACCTCCATTCCCTTATTGAATGGTGATGTCTCATAGAACTGGTATCAGAATGACCTGAGTTGCTTAGCTATAGGAGCTGTGAAGATCAAAAGCAGTGAGCCTAGATAAGTAGGGCATTAAAATGCCTTTTTTTTTAAAACATTTTTTGCCCTTTTGAAAGTATTATACACCCACTGAAAAGAAATTGGAAAAGGTGATGAAGAAGAAAATAATTCCTGTAATATTCCTCCTCTGAGTATTAATACCACTAACCAAACAGAATGACCACGGTTTTCAGGCTCTGGGTGAAATAGAACTATATTTTGTTGACTGGTTCTGAGCATATATGGCCTTAACTGAGTCTTAAATGGGTCTCTGTATCTTTCTAAAAGGCCACTGGGTGATGGGTTACATGGGAAGACTTGTGTACCCCTATAGGCCCTTTCCTGTTGCCTTGCATCTGTAAGTATAAATGTGCGTTCCTTGGCTTGAAGCTATGTTGTATGGATACATGGCAGTGATAAGACATTAAATAAGTCCAAATCCAAGTTTAACGTAAGTATTCGGTTTAATAAGGAAGACCACTGCCCCTTGTATGAAGGAAAGGGTCCAGTGGAATCAGCAGACCATGCGGTAACGGGCTGGTTCCTGAGGTAGCTTATCAGGACTGGGACTGATTGCCTCTTCTGATAGATTGGGCACTCAGCAAGAGCCACTAGAGGGATGTTGTGCTGTTGATTAATGCACTGACTTCATCCCTGGCACTTTGGCCACTTTGGCCATGAGCCCCTTGACCAAGTCCTGGGGAGAGAAGCTGGGTAACATCCACAGAGCAGGTGTGTTCTCCACTTGTTCGTTGAGAGCCTCCTCTACCATGGGCCTGTTTTGGTGAGCATTCACATTGGACCAAAGTGTTGTCAGACTCTGGGCTAATCTTGGAAGTTTTTCCACATGCTTCTTTTCCAAATCTTATTAGCCATCTTCTAGTTTGTTCCAAGGCCCTGATCATCCAGCCAAACCATTATTTGCCCACTTACAATGAGTTAGTATATATGTCCTCAGCTCAGGCTCTGTCTTCTTCTAGAGTAAAAGTAACTATGAAACTGCCTAAATAACTTTTTCTGTGATCACACTAATATCATTCTTAAAAATCACATCAGGATGTCTTATTCTACTTTCTTAGTACTACTGATCCCACAGTGAAATAAGCTTAGTAATAACTTAAAATTTTTGTATCCTTCTTTCTAGATGAATTCTTTCCTGTGTTTTTTCTTGTTTGCTGTATTAATTGGTCGTAAGGAGCTTTTTGTTGCCTTTGGTTTTTATGACAGTCAACCCACCCTAATTGGACTATTGATCATCTTCCAGTTTATTTTTTCACCCTATAATGAGGTAAGGTATAATCTTTAAAATTATCTCACATATACTCTTGCCAGTTTCAAATCCAGAACCTTTAAGGTAGTGTCAAAAGAAACAGACAAGGGAGTGCGTGGGGGCATAGCTCAGTGGTAGAGTGTGTGCTCGACATGCACGAGCCCCTGGGTTCAATTCCCAGTGCCTCCGTTAAGGGGAGGAAATAAAAATAAAGTGTGTATTTAAAAAAAATTTTTTTTAAAAGAAAGACAAAACTGTAGTTTTAACAGGCAGGTGAAACAAAGTTTTAGTCCCTTGATTTGCTGGACAGTATAAGAAAGTAGCAGAAAAACCCAATCCCAAATAATAAGTGCTTGTATACTGTTAGGGGGAAAAAAATGGAGCATTAGACTTCAGTGGTGAAAAGCTTGATATAACATGTACCTCAGAGACTTGGTAGATGGAGATTAACTATTGGAATGCTGTGTCCTAGACCACATATTCCCAGTGCTTGAGTGAAAAATCTGTGTGTGAGGGGACAAAACAAATAATCGTTGAATGTATGTATGACTGGACTGGATAAGGGAGGCTGTATGACAGTGTTCCCCTAATTGTGTTCTCTGACCACCTGCTTCATAATAGCCTTAGGGTTCCACCCCAGACCCTCTGAATCAGAAATGAGTGTTTTATGATAAATGTAATTTAAAAACCAGTTCTCCATGATTGATCAGTAGGGAGACTCCATATATATGATGACATTGTTTAATGAGACTATGTATTAGTAAATCTGGTGATGGCAACATGTCATGATACTAACTGATTTGGCTTCCAAATCAAGTCAAGAAGTACTATTGAGGGTCTTGAGCTATTTCCATTCAGAAGGTTTCTTTCCTGGGACAGGTTATAAGTTAAGGTTTGAAGATAAGCAATTTCCTCATAAAAGGTGGTGTGGCAGTAGGGTGTAGGATTTAGGGCACCAGGAAAGAAAATGGAAGAATAAACCGTATTTGTCTGGCATTGTCCACAGAATCTAAATGCATTTTCTGGAGAACTGAGATTTATTATCTTTAAGCGCTGAATGTCTTAATTTTTTATTTTAACTTTTGTTGAGAATATTTATAAAATGCTGTATATAGTTCATATTTCTTAAAGAGGTTATAGAACACCTTAAGTGATATTGTCATTTCTGTCTCTACTCACAATTCAGGAATGCCATAAGGACACTGAGCTAAATGCCCCAGATTTCTCCACTCTTTAAGCAGTTGTGCAATTTTTTACTATTTAACTAATTTTCTTATCTCTTCCCTCACTGTCAGGCTGATAATCCTTGCTAATATCATCCATGTAACTTTCTGTTACGATCGTTATCTGTTTCTAATTTTCTTCTTCAATCTACCATAGACTGGGAAATCAGATAATTAAACACATTAAGTAAGAGTTACTAGACTCTGGCTGAGTATCAGTGTCCTCTCATAAGTAAGGCACCAGTAATGCTAGTGGTTATCCTTTGGGCATCTAATTTAGTCTCTCAGGGTTTGGTTTTGTTTCCTTATATTGAGTGGTTGAGTTCACTTCAAAAAATGTCTAAGTAAATGTGGGGTATTAGAGTAATTTGAAATGTGATTAATTCACAGAGATATTAGCAACTGTTTTAAAAACCTTGGAGAGCTCAGGAGACTGGTTTCCAAAAGACTAGATATTTAAACAGAAGATCTTATGTTTAATACCAGTATTTAAGAGATAATGATAGGAAAGAGATATTTTCCTGGGGAAAACTACCCTGTCAAGAAGAGTTTGGGAACTATAGCAGAGCAGATGAGGTGCAGGTTAGTATCTGCTTGTGTTTTTATATTTTGTGTACAGCGTTATGAAGGGGACAGCTTCAGAGTGGTCACCCTTAGAGACTGAATATTTATTCTGATGAAGCTATCATAGCTCAGAACACTATAGAAAATTCTATTTTGAGATTGTCATTAGAGGCTGTAGTATATGTTTTGGGGGATGTTCTCAGTGAAGACTGTCATTATCCTTTAAAGACAGATAAGTAAGCAAGAATATTTTTTTAAAAAGAGAAAGTATGAATATAAATCACACATCTAAACTCTGACTGAGGAAGGTGGTGTCCATGGCTTTGGAATCATCAAGAATTTCAGCACTGCCACCTTCTAGCTGTGTGACCACGAATGGGTTATCTCCCCTCTCTGAGATACACCTTCCTCATCTGTAAAACTCGAATAAGAGTAATTACCTAGCAGGATTGTTGGGGAATGTGTAAAGTGCCAACTCAGTGCCTGGCACATGGTAGATTCTCAAAAATAAGTGTATCTTTGATAAGATTAACATTTATTTGGATGTATATCTGTTTCTGGTCTGCTTGCTTGAGGTGGAGGAGGCTCACTTTATAATCTTCCCTGACCCTAGGCTTTCTTTTGGCCTGCTCTTTCTCTTATCCTGAGCTGAACTTCCTCTGCAGTATTGATTCATGAAACCTTTGACAACAAAGAGGTGAGCAGTGGTTAAAATGCTTTTATTTACTTTTTCAGGTTCTTTCTTTTTGCCTAACAGTCCTAAGCCGCAGATTTGAGTTTCAAGCTGATGCATTTGCCAAGAAACTTGGGAAGGCTAAAGACTTATATTCTGCTTTAATCAAACTAAACAAAGATAACTTGGGATTCCCTGTTTCTGACTGGTTGTTTTCCATGTGGCATTATTCTCATCCTCCACTACTAGAGAGACTCCAAGCTTTGAAAAATTCAAAACAAGACTGAGTTGCCCAGGCTCTCTGCAACTGAAGACATTTCTGATTATTTCTGTCCTGGCAGCATGTTCCAGCTCTTGATGTTTTTAAACTTTTTTTTTTAAAGAAAAATTATTAAGTACAGAAAAGCCAAGGTTTAAATATATTTACTATCTCATTTCAAAAATGATTTTAATAATTCATTTCTTAAAGAAAACACTGGATGAAATTTTGAGGCTTAATGTTTTTAAAGGCATACTTTTATCTTTAAAATCTAATTTACCATCAACTTGTAAAATTATTTGAGAAAATACAGAACTTGTTTTATTTACATGTTTGTATGGAAACTGCATATAAGGTGTTGAGGGCCATATGTTTAAAAAGGGAGCAGCACCTCTGAATCCTCTCTGTAAGGCAGAAACAGTGGTCCTGAATCACTGTGCTCATACCTAACTTGAGACTTATTTTTACTTTCAAGCTGTTATGATTTAACCTGGCCAATCAGTGTTTTAAATAAGGAAGAAAGATAATAATTGGTAGGGTTGATGTTATGTAAATGCAAGTAGTTATAAATACGCTTTACTGTTCTACCGAATTTCTCCGTTTCCTCTTGCTATCCACTGATCAGGAGTTTCCAATAGTGCTTTGAAATTAGAAATTATGTACAGAATGTTTTAAATCATTGAGTTTTGTTTTTGTTTTTAAGAAAATCTCAGTCTTTGTCTTTTTTCCCACCTGGTGGATATGAGTCCATTGACAGTAAGCTAGTATTTTTCCAAAAAGTCAGCTTTTTCTTATTCATACTCTTTTATTCAATAAATAGTACTTTCTTTTACTTAGCAGAAATTGCCATGTTGCACAGGTTTTGCTATTTTAAAAGTGGGAGAATGTGGAAAGAAGAAGAAATGACATTTTAAGAGACATGAGGGTAAAATACTGAGGATTCTCTTATGATGTTACAGGAAAAAAAATATAATTTCCTGTCTCTTTCAGGAAGTTGTAGTTTTTATTTTTCTAATTTTTATCAGTAAGTACTATTTAAACAGACCTGGTTCCATTTTAGGAAATTATAGTTCTTGATGTGCCAATAATTTTTATTTTCAAAACAAATATCACAGAAGATTTCCAGTTTTCAAAGCTGTGTGTTTGACTGCTTCAAATCTCTGTCCAGTTTTTGAATGAGAACTGATTTTGTGCCTAGAGCTCCCACTCACTGGTGATTCTGGGCATTTATTCCAAAGTGGGATCAACCGTGCACACTTGCTATCTGGCCAGAAGGTCTTTTGCTCAGCTGATACTTGGGTGGTGTCTTTACATGGAAATATAATAAAAATGAAGATTAGTTTAGTATTGCATTATTTATTTTCCTAAGGCTAAAAAGGAACAGTCCTGTGATTTTATCCAGCATCTTTTATCTGTGACTTCATGCTGTGATAACTGCCTTTCCTTCCTTCTGTGCCTTTAAATACAAATTTCAGTTCTGCACAAGTGAAACATTAAAACTTGCCAATGCAGATTGATGTAGTTTGTCTTTAATTGGACAAAATGTGTCTTGTCATTTGTTACCTAGATGTTTGCTCATTACCGTAGAGGAACCGAGTGCTAGTACATGAAGAAAGCACCATCACTGTGCCCTTCGGGGCCTTCCTCCTGCTCCACTCCGGAGCCTCACCAGTTCTTTCTGGTGTTTCCTCGGAAGCGTCATTCAGAACCATTCCTTCTCCATTTTCATAACCTCACGTTGTGGTGGGCCTGTCTGGTCTGCTCCAGCTACCTCTTTGGTCTTCTTTACATGTGGCTACAGTGACAAGGTTTTTAATATGTGATTGTTTTGATCTAGTCCCCTACAGGTTATGGAAGGCATAGGGATAGCCAGAGGATACTGGTAGATTCTTGAGGTACTGCCAGTCAGGGGAAGGAGTAGAGAGGCCAGCCAAGGAGGGAGAGAGGTGGTACTCTGCACCCCGATACGTGGCGGATATGCAGGGGGCAGAATGGCGTAGATCAGGACCTGGGGTAACATGGCGTGACCTTAGCAGGGTTGCTCTCTGAATTGAAGGCAGAGTCCTTATTGTGTGTTTATACTATTTTTATCTGACTTGGCCCTTTGCTGAAGTTTCAGAGCTACTGGTAAATTTTACCTCTTTTTAGAATAGGAGCTGGGGTTAATTAAATGATTTTAGTACCATTGATGGACCCAGCTTGTCCTTTACTTTCATGTTCTCACTGTCACCCCTAGTCCTTTATGTAGCATTCCCCTCCCTGAAGAATCCTTCTTCCACTTGGTCGTTGTCATCAATCTTTTGGATTCTTTTGTACATATATACTTTATGCAGCTTTGACTGTTTTGAGTGTTCTATCATCATTAGCAGAAAGCTTACCAGTTACCACTTGAGGGCCTCAAGTTCCATCCTAAGGGCTACCCAAAGACTATTACAGAGAACTTCTTTCCCAAAACTCCTGATTTTACACC